ATTTTTTTATAAAAGAGACACATACGATAGTCAATTGCAAAAGAGGTAAAATAATTTTGCGCTTACACATCTAGAAACACTATAAACAGAAAACAATACAAGTACTTACTGACTCTGCACCTCTCGATCCGCCATTTCTTCGGCTCGTTTCCGCACTGAACTCTCGACTTTACGTCGAAGAACGGAGGCAACACGAGCTTAGAAGTAGAAATAAATCATCACGGTAATTGGCTGCAGATGCCACATGACTTTGACGTCACCGCCTCTCCGCAGGAACACTTAATTTTTTAATTGCATTACTTGTATATTTTGTACATGCGACATTAATACTGACTCTATACGTGTATTTATAACGATCACACATATACGTATCTAAGAAATTAGCATATAACTAAGTGGACCACTACGTGCTAACGAGTAACAGCATGAAGTTGAAGTCACTTCACAATCAATTAAAACTTTTCTAATTCACATTGTCGACCGTGTGGCCAATGGTGTGGTCTGGGTGCGTTAGTTTCATATTGACATGGTTGTTGTTTCGAGTCTCGTTTGAGTAAATGTGGTTTTATTTTTACACTATAATTTTTTATTTTGTAATATTATTAGGTAGAAAAACTGAATATCGTACGAAATGAATAAATAACAACGTTGGGAATTATATTATTTCTTTCAAGTTTCAAACTTTTACAATAATTATATTAATTAATTAAGAATCTCTTTGTTATGGCGTTTCATGTAAGAATTCAAACTGTATTTATAAACAATAATCGCAGTTGGATTGTATCTTTTCCGTATGAATTCGAAGATGCTTCACTAGGTTGATCTTTTGTGTAAATCTCCGTTTGCAATGGTTGCAGGTAAAAGATTTTTCTCCAGAATAACTGCGGAAAATTCGGTTTTCCTGCATAACTGGCTACAGAACGGTTTTTCCTCTGTGAATCCTCTTATGAATTTCAAAGTGTGATTTTCAACAGAATTCTTTGTCACAATTTCGACAGAAAAACTTCCTGTTTTTCTGACTTTGATGCTGAAAATCTACGAAATACAAAACACTAAACTTCAATATTAACGTAGAAAATAATTCGTTTATGTTAAATAATACAAAGAAATGTAGAAAAAGTTACTTCTGCATAGCTTGGAAGTAATTACTTCACAGTATCAAATTCATTTTTTATTTTAGATGTAAATGTTTACTTCCTACTTCAAAACTTGTCATTTTTAAGGGAATTCTTCAAGAGAAATGTTTGCTGCCTCCACGATACATGTTAAAGAAAAAAATGTAGAAATTAGACATTGAAAAGAAATAATTAACTGTAGCATTAACTTTCAAATAAATGATATTTTCAAAACTGTACAATTGTTAAAACGAAAAAATTTTAAATGTACAAACGATATTTTGCACTAGTTAAGACCTGTGTTGAAAAATCTGAAAAATAAATCAGATGCAGTTATTAATACATCTTTTACTAATTGAAAACTGAGTGATGTCACCCTCAGAGTATTTTAGATTAGTTAACACGAATGGCATATTTTTTAATACAAAAGGAATCTTACGATACAGCCAAAACATAAATCAGAACCTTTCAGTTATTTTTTTAGGACAAAGTATGGAAAATAAAGAAACTATTGTTTACCTCCTACTTTATATTTAGTAAATATTCAGTAAATTTAATATTTGAAGATATTTGAAGCTATGCCGTCTAAATTATATAAGAAGGCGGTTATAGCCCTTGTTAGGGCTAGGGCTAAGCTGAGATTTCATACGATGTGCAAGAATAGAGGGGTGTTCCCTATGTCCATTCAACGAATACGTCTACCTGTTGGATGTGAATCATTTTTACCAAAGCTTAGAATATTATGTTTATGGAAGGAAACACGCAAGACGGTGTTTTTAAACTAAATTGCGTAATTAATGTTTCCTTCTGTGTGAAAGTTTAATGACTCGCGCGTTATGCAAGTCGGCACTTATGGTCAAGGTCGAAACATAAGTAGATAGAGCAGTGGTGCATCTGTTATGTTCAAGATCATATTTGTGTTCGCGTATATACGTTTATCTAGAGAGCGTATTGAGAAGCCAATATATACAGTGCTGAGAAAGATAAGGGCCTCACACAGAGGTATAGCCCATGTTCAGACTAGAAAAGGAGGAAGAGTTGAGAGTGTAAGAAGGGGTAAGAGTAAGGAGAAGTAAAGTGAGATAGGATAGAGGGAAAAAGTAGCCAGGGTCATGGGACCCGTGGGCGCCTGCATCGCATTTATTAAATAATAACACAGTACAAAATAACAATAGGATTATTACAGAATTACATACATAGAAATATAATTACAAGATTGGTAGGCGCGACAATAGTAATTTGGAGTATACAAAAATACACGTGGGACAGAGACATATATTATTTACACAGTATAAAGAGGTTAACAGTAGGAGTTGACCGACAATGTCAGATGTAATCGCGGGTTACAAAACAGCTGAAAAAGTAAGGACAATAGACACAGAGAATACAATAAGTGGAGACAAGTAGACACAAAAGCGTACCTATAAAAGGTAGCTAAGTCCAATTAAGCTGATACCAAAAGATGCAAGATGATAAACACAGTTCCATAGGTAGTTGAAAATCCATCACCAACTATAGGGAAGAAACAATCTAGTAGAGCTTCTTGATATCAGCTGCAAATTTCTTCAGGGCCTTGAAATTGTTCTTATCAATAGTGAAGTCTTTGAGAGTGCAAGGCCAGTTGAACCCATTTGCCTGAACAGTCTCTGCCAGTTTCTTACGATGAGTAATGTGGAAAGGGCAGTGGAAGATAACGTGCACAGGCTCTTCCTCTTCCTTCAGGTCGCAGTTACACTGACCGTCAGTCTTATTGAGAAACCTCTTGAGGTAGGAGTTTAAATTCCCGTGACCTGTAAGGAGTTGAGTAAGCTGGAAGGTGGTGTAGCGTGGGTCGTGCATACTGTCGGTGGGAGATGGGAAAAAGCTATGGGTGAGCCTTCCCGTGTCCCCATTATCCCAGCGGGACTGCCAGAGCTTGAGGATAATCTTGTGTATCTCATTCCTGACGTAGTTTTTGCTGATGCCAGTGTAAGAAGTGGTGGAGGCCAAAGTACGTGCTTTCCGAGCAAGAAGATCAGCCCGCTCGTTCCCCGTGATCCCTGAATGACCCTTGATCCAATGAAAGTCCACCCTGATGTTAAGAGCCGTAAGTTCTTGAAGCTTGCGGATGCTGTCATTAACAATGGGGAGGGTGGAGTTAAGTTTAATGATCTGTTGGATTGCTATCCTGCTGTCACTAAATATTCCGTAGCTGTGATTCTTCCAGTTGTGTTGATTAGATAGAATCCAATCTATGGCAAGGTAGATGGCAAGAGACTCCGCCTGATTGTTGGTACAGTGCGGAGCTAATTTCCTGCATGCCTGATATAGGCACTGCTGGTCCTTGTAGATTACGACCGCACAGCCCACCCCCTCAGGAGCCTTGGACCCGTCAGTATAAATATGGATGTTGTGGTTCTCATTGTAGCTGTTGTCGAGGCTGTAAGATGGGACAAAACTGGGGTGGATGGGGTAGTAGTCATAATGCTTGTCAAAACCATTGGAGATGAGAAGCTCCGCAAGAGAATTGATATCCTCACAGTGCTTCTCTTTTGCTATTATGTTGTTAAAATGCTCAAGGCTGGTCTCTTTCTTGGCCACTTTGTCGAGATTATATTTTAAGAAAATTTCTTTGACCTTTAGGTCAATGGGCAAAGTCCGGTTAATTACAAGAAGGGCCTCAGTGGGGGCTGTCTTGTATGCTTTGGCAGCATTGATACCTAACAGCCTTTGGATTGACAGGAGCTTCCTACGAATATGTACTCTGGTGGCCGCTGAGCCCCAAATTTCTGCTCCGTATGTGATGATAGGCTCAATTGCCGCTATATAGAGAGTCCTGCTTGTCAAAGGGCCATAACCCCACCGGTTCCTGCAAATAGTTTTTAGGGCCTGGGCAGTTTTCGTTGCTTTCTCATAGACATAGTGAACATGGTCTGTCCAGTTCAGTTTCTGGTCCATAACTATGCCCAAATATTTAACAGCCGTGTGATTCTTTATCTTGATGTTGTTGATCTTAATGCTAGGACCTTTCTTAAGGATGTTCCCTTTCGGGAAAACAATCACTTCACATTTCTTATAATTAATTATTAGCTTAGTTTTTTCACACCAGTTAGATATGAGCTTCAGTGTATTGTTTATCCTTTCCTGGAGGACTTCATTGTTCACATGGCTGAGCAATAGAACCGTATCATCAGCATACCCCTGTATGTGAGCCTCGTATTCCTTGGGGATGCTGATATATACAAGGTCTCTTTGAAATCTACGGTCCCTTAGTGGAACAGAATATACGTCTGGAGCAGATCTCTTGTCTATGTCGTCTTTGCAGTTGCGCATAATGTCATAAATAATAAATAGTACTACGCCTCCTATAAGCAATCCTCTTGTTTGTACTACTCTAATTATAACTTATATTAATTAGGTACTGTATACATAATTATATATTAACTTAATTTATTGTAACTTTATTATAATTATATACATACTTTCCGCCGTCTAGCGCTACGCTACACAGAGTTTAGGCGAGTAAGTTGAGTTTACTATCGTCTGTACAGTATGTAAATTAGGTACCGTAAGTCTAATACGGCACTGTAATTTTATACATTTCTTGTGAAAGAAACATTTCTTATTCAACGGCCATAAAAATTATTTATATTAATGATGTCTCCAAAGTTCAACGAAGTTTTCGCAGAAAAATAACATCAGAAATCGCGGCCGCGGTTTGCTGAGTTGTTCCGCGACGAAAACAAGCTTGAGCAATGGCGATGTTGAATGGAACACACTCGGTAAGTAATCCTACAATTTTTTGTTTATAGC